TTTTATATTTTTTAATTACGGACAAAAAAGTCGTTCGAATTTTATAATGTCGTACGAATTTATAATGTTTACGGAATTTTAAAATGTCATCCGAATTTAATAGTAATAATATTAAAATATAAAATAAAAGGAAAAAAAATCAAAACAAAAAGGAAAAAAAAAAGAAAAAAAAATAATGTCAAATCAAAAGTAAAAGATTGATTTGATTGATGTTAGGGGAATAAAATTGGTTAAGGGGTACTTATAGCATAACTCATTTGATTTATTGTTCTATTTTAGATTTAGATTATGTTGGATATTTGAAAATTAGATACATCAATTACATAAAAAGTAGAATTGTAGAAAACGAGGTTTCATATACGCCCAATATATTTTGTTTCGTTTTAAAATAACTATTTTTACTTTAATTTGTTTTGCAGTTTAGATTGACTTACGAATTTCACTCATCAACTTATGAATATTATAAAGAAAAGTTCATGCAGAATTTCATGGCATGTTTATGGATCTATGCTTTCATTTTACGTTCCAATGATAAAAAGTGTTGTATTTTGTACAATTATTATTATTCCTTTTTTTCTAAATTAACACACGAAAGAATTTCATGGCAATAAGTAATTTCAACAAACTTGCTATGATGGTGACGTATTTTAGAAATAACATCGAAAATACCCAATTGTTCTTTTTCGAGTTTTAAGTTTTAAGATATAAACGCGTCTATTATTAAAAAAAGAAATTGCAACGTTCGATTGATAGGTGATTGACAAAATACATTGACTAAAATATTGATAACTAAATGTAACATTTCTTAATAAACAAATAATTAACTTATCATAAATAATAACATTATATTTTTTTAACCCTAAAATACCCCTGGGTTTCGAAGAAGAAGCAGTCTAGTTCCATAAAATGAAAAGGGTCCCTTCATTTTCAACACTTCTTTCTAGTTTCTACTAGTGTACGTACTAGACTATACTATCCCTCCGATCCACCTAAACCACCATCGACCACCACCAACCACCATGTCGGTCAAACAGTGCCACCACCACGGTGGAAAGAAACGTAAAATAATCAAGCGAATACTCATCGGATTAGGCATCCTTGCCATCATCGTCCTCCTCATCTTCTTCATAACATGGGCAATTCTTCAGCCCAAAAAACCCCGATTTGTCCTCCAAGACGCCACCATCTACGGCTTCAACGTCTCCGCCCCCATCCTCCTCTCCTCTAACTTTCAGGTCACCGTCTCCTCCCGGAACCCCAACAGCAAAATCGGCGTCTACTACGATAAACTAGAAGTCTTCGCCACCTACCACAGCCAGCAAATCACCTACTTCACCGTCATCCAGCCCGTTTACCAAGGCCATAAAGACACCAACATCTGGTCACCCTTTGTTTACGGAACAAACGTTCCGGTGGCTCCGTACAACGGCGCCGCCTTGTCTCAAGATCAGTCCAACGGCGCTATTGGGCTCGTGATCAAGATAAACGGACGGGTAAGATGGAAAGTTGGAAGCTTTATCTCCGGCAGGTACCATATCCACGTCACTTGTCCGGCGTATATTCCGTTCGGGAATAGGAACTCTGGGATCGCCGGAGTTGTCACCGGAGTTAAGTACCAGCTAGCTCGGAAATGCAGCGTTAGTGTCTGAAGAGAAGAAGAAGAAGAAGAAGATAACCGATCACGTTAAATCCCCGTCAGTCAATAACGGTGCTGTTTTGTTTTCTTTTTCTTTTTCTTTTTTATTTATTTTCGATTTATGATGAAAGCATACGTATACGTGGATGAATTTGTAACTTTTGCTTGAGAAGAACGAAGAAAGCAAAAGAAGCCCATAAAATTATAGCAAAATTACAAAATTGGACGTGTTGTATGATGAATTAAGAATTATAAATAAAAAATATATTAAAATTATACTTTCTAAACAAATTTATTATCTTATGAGATTTTATTTAATTATGTACAATAAACCTTACGTTATTATTTTGAATAGAGTAGAGCGAAAGCCAAGTAGATGCATGTGGGCGGTGGGTGAGGTGTCATTTTTCTTATTCATATTATATTATGGGATTTTAACTGAATACTTTTTGCATTAAAAGAGTTTTGAAAATCCCTATATTTTATTTTCTTTTCATTAATAGCGTATGTAATTAAGTCAATATTAAGTTCTGTGTTTCCTATTTTTGAGGCTTGGGCCATAATGTGAGCAGTGAACATGCCATGTGTTTGGGGACAAATAGGAGGAAGTATGGGTGCTAGTAAACGTGTGTGCTCGAATTTTGCAGATTTTTATAAATTGTACAAAGTTTATATTTTAGAAATAAGCATTGAAATACTTCAAACACGTTTAAATGATTAAAAATTTCTTCTTTAGAAAATTGGAGTATGAGTTATTATAAATATATTTATAGTGAAGTAACTACTCTAAAAAAAAAAACTATGTGTAGCATAGGATGCATTTTTATAAGTTTGGGCTATCCTTGGCTAACAAATGTTTCTAATAAAGAAGTCATGAGTTTAATCGTAGACCTATACTATCTCATTGTTCTAAAAAAAATTATACGATGTATTTCAACACTTTTTTTGTATATCTTTTAGGGTTTATTTTTAACATAGTTTTTTATTTTGGACAACAAAAAAGTCATTTTATTGTAAAAAGAAAATAATGAAAAGCTAAAAAGACATGATAACAAAGAGCTCAAGCATGGACGTGAAGGGCAATTTCATTGGTTAAACCAATTAAAAGAATCAAATTTCAATATCCCGACTTTAATCCAATTCTAACCAAAGAGTTTAACCCTGCTAGCGAAATCATGACAGTTCCTAATCCGATTGCTGAAAATACGATCATTTATGTACTTCCACACTATTCATCCAATGACAATAAAGACTACTTCCACCATGACTTTGATTGATTTGGGAGTTCGAGAAAAACCACCAACACCATTGATGTATAATTGAAACACACTTCTTTAATAGTCGAGCAATTCATAAACAAATGTATCTCCATTTTATCTTTGTTGTTATAGATAGGACAAAAGTTTGTATCTAGACGGGCACCAATTCTATTGAGATTAACCATCGCCTAACCATCGCCGAGCAATGGTGAATCTAGAACAAAAAGTTACATGATTCCTCATATAAAATTAGATAGGTCATTTATATTTTTTAATACTAGAAGGTAGGTCCTAATATAAGTTTCTATATAATTTCTATAAAATATTAAAACTTAGGTAGGTTTTAGGACTCACCTGGAGTATATATGGCTACACCACTGTCGCTGGGAATCTCCCCAAAGGAGTTCCTTATACCAAGATGTTAGTTTTATCAGTAGGGCCGACCCAAGAATTTGGAGACCCTACGCAATTTAGTAAAAAAGGGCCTTAAAGCTTGTAAATTTTAAAATCATCATTTTAAAAGACAAAAATTCATTCAAAATAGTATAATAATAATTGTTAATTACCTTTTCAAAATCTATAAAATCAAGAATTACTAACCTTATTTGTAGTTTACCTCTAAAAAAATATGTAAAATTGGATTTTGGATGACTATTGACCAAACGAAAATTTTGTAAAAATCAAAATCAGAAGAGATGTTAGAATTTGAATCATATACAACATTTATCTTAAAAAAAAAGATGAAGGATAAAAAAATTTGATGCCTCTAACTATTTAGAAAGAATGAAATAAAAGTTCTTAACTCTTGAGAAACCAAATGTATTACTCTTAAAATCTGTAAAAAAAATTAATAAAAAATAAAAAATAAAAAAAATGAATCAGAAACATACTCTAAAAAGTAAAAGTCTTTCAAAACTTACAACTTAAAAGATGTCAACACTCCAGAAGAGAAAAAGTTAAGAACAATGGTGTTTGAAAAAAACAAAAAAAAAGAATTGAGATTAGACCGTGATTTTTGATCAAAAGGGTGTTGTCTAGGTTGAAGATTACATTTCATTAAGAAGAAGGGTGTTGAATGTTATGATTTTTTATGAATAAAAGAACCATGACGCATGGAAAAAAATGTTGTTATTTTTAAGCCTTGAAGGATGCGATTTTTTAAATCTGGAGATATCCTAGGGAATGTGAGATCATTGCCAAGAACTGAATTGTTGCCTACCATAAATGGTTTTACATTGACGCGTATGATAGAGGACGAGGCAGGATCAAAATCAATTTCAATCGAACTCTTTCTTTGAATGTTGATTTCAAGCGCTTTGATTTGGAAGAAAATGTGTTCTAGTTTTAGACAAAGAAGTGAAGTTGATTAGTAACCTAAAGAAGAAATTGGGCCTGTAACGGATATATGTACTATTGAAAATAATGTCCAATATCATTAACTATTTTTAATATTTCTGAATGATATCAATTTCCTTTTGGGTTGCCCTCAAGACACAAATGAGGAATTAAAAGAATAGACATAAGGAGTTATTATGTTTAATAAATTAATCAGAAACTATTTTAGAATTAATTAATTCAAGGAGTTGGATATTAATTAGTTAAAAGATTGTGTAACGTCCCAAAAACCACAGTAAAATTTTTCAAAAATTTAAAATTAATTAAAATCATTTTCAACAAACACCAACATCATTAAAACATCTATATCTCATCACAAATCCAAAATTAAGAGTATTATATCAGATAAAATCCTAAAAACATGAAAGTTGCCGAAGAGTGTGTACAGTCAAGCCTTAACCTTTCCTCGATCCTCTTAAGCACCTGAAATATTTAAATCTACAACTATAAACCAAATGTTAGTAGGTTCCTCAAAATACCTCACATCATAATATGCATACAATGCATGCACACAATGGCCTACATCATAAGGCTGATCTGCCCCTTTGGCCTTCAACATAAAGTTGGTCCGCCCCATTGGCTTTCAACATGAAGTTGGTCCGCTCGAGTATATTGTTCTTCTTCATACAATCGGTCCGCCTTCAATCCACCCACAATATGTTGACATATACAAATAAACAAACAATTACCAAACAAACAATCATAGGTAATTATTAACAAATCTACATACCTAATAGATCACTACATCATATCAACATCCTAACATATAGAGGATCCACACTGTAATAGAAAGTATAGTGAGAAAACTCACCTGAATTAGAGCTGGATCTTAACAACCCCACTGATGGGAGCTAGATGCGCTTTTCCCTTTCCGGACACCTACATCCAAAACCAATAATTGTATTTATATTATTTCCTGATACTAATTATCTTGTATTTTATTGATACTTTTATGCGAGTATTAGGGTATGTGCATTCCCAAACATAATATTAGGTTTATACACTAAGTTCACACCAAACACACACCAAACATACACAAAACCCTTAACTAAGGCTTACTTCGTGTTTTAAATACCCTCTGTAACACCCGATGGTTCCAAGGTATTATTTATTTATCTAATCATTTATTTAATTGTCTAAATCATGTAAGTCATATTAGGATTAGAGGATTGGGCCTCTATGTCTGGGCTAAGCTGTGGTCATACGTTGGGCGTAAGCTTGGTGTACACGGGACGTAGAAGGATCACAAGGAAAACGTGTAGCCATGTGTAACACCTGATTCCTGGTACGTATTTAAATTCAAGAACTTCATGTATTTCCTCTGGGACTCGACAAGTTGGTGGCCCAACTCTTCGAGTAGATTCGTGATTCGCGGGAAGTTTAAGTGGCCTACTCGACGAGTCGGGAGACCGACTCGGCGAGTAGGTGCTGTTTGGGTGAAACCCTAAATTTTTGGGTTTGCACCCTATTTAAACAACTTATTTCAGCCTCCATCGTCCCTATTACTCCCAGAAAGCATTATCTCGAAACCCTAGCCGTTATTAGTGTGTTTTTTTAGCCTTGAGGTGTTACTTTTGGTGTTTGAAGCTTGAAAAGAAGGAGGAGGCTTGTGAGATCAAGGGGGGAATCAGGAAGATCCATAGCTTTGGGCACATTTCCAGCTTATTGGAGGTATAAAGCTGAAGCTTATCTATTCTTTGTGTAGATCTTGATTTTGGTCCATTTTCCTCCATTTTCTAAGCCCTACTGAGGATGTATTCGGGATTTAGTGTAAGGAATGAGTTTGTGCTTCAGATCTAGGGCTATTGAGGGTTTTTATGGCATAAAGGTGCCCACCTTGCTGCCATAAACACCCCATGCATCTTGTAGACTACCTTTTATGGCGTTTTGAGCCAAGGACCCCATGCATGCGCACAAAGTTTGAAACTTTACGTGTAAAATGGACATTAGGAGGCCATATCTATGATTTTGGTGTGTTAAGACCCATTTAAATCGACTGTATAGTAATGGTCAAAGATGACCACCAAATCCTTTCTGTCGATGGACCAGATGATAGTGTGGAAGGTCCCTCAGTTATTTACGCCCTTAAGGGACCTGAGAATCATGGGACTCGACGAGTGGTTGAGCAAACTCGGTGAGTCCAAGGCAATCTACCAATATTTGAAGATGGACTTGACGAGTTGTTCAAACAAATCGGCGAGTCATAGACTGGACACATTAATATGAGGGAGATGAACTCGACGAGTTCAAGGATGAACTCGGCGAGTCGGTTGAAGATGGTCCCTTAGTATGATTGAAAGAGAACCCGTCGAGTTTTTGCTAGACTCGACGAGTAGAATCGGGGGTGGGATCAAGTTAA